CTTTGTTCCATCGTCGCTACCTGCACTACCTAGGTACCTAACCTTACCTCCAGCTAGAAGACACCCTCGAAGCTGTGGCTCTTGCCTGACATGGGAAAGCAGGACCATCTTGCATCGTGCCATCCACCGATGCGGTGGCATCCAACGTCAACACCGCAGCAGCAGTTGCCCTCTTTCAACGGTCACCTCGCCTTAGCCAACCCTCTCAAACAGCCGGCACCCGGCCTCCAACCCCTCCGGCCCTTTCTGGTCGTCGTCGCGTGACCTGACTTGATGCCACAAAAACCTACACCTTTTTCGCGCCTCGGATCATCGTCTCCCTCGCGCTTCTCCAGATCTTCCCTTCCCGCTCAGCCGCGGACAAAGAAGGAGATTGCGAATCGCCAGCCGCTAATCCTGGCCTGCCCTGTAGCTTGACTGCCAGATTACCTAGGGCAGACAAAGAAGACGCGCGGGAGAGCGACACACGCAACCTGACCGAGTCCACCAAGGACGCTCATCCTGGGGACTGGAGCTGGACCCTCTTCTCTCGCCCGACTCGGCCCCGGCCGGCGCGAGACTCGAAAGACACTCACTCACACGACGAACCACATCCAGATTCCAAGTCGTCCACTCCCAATCACTCTCACTTACACAAAAAAGGAAGCCTAGCTAGACCGCTCCCAGTGTCCTTACGAATCACCACAAGGCCCTTACGACAGCAGGGACGCGCACCTCCTGGTCCAATAGCCCCCGACGTCGTCATACGCTCCTCCACCCAGCTGCTGCATCCTTTGTTCTAGCGCCCTTCTAGAAGCCGGCTAACGAGTCTTGGCTTTTGCTAGCTGGGCTGCACAGCCTCCATCCCAGGCTCCCCCACCAGTCATTGCGGTCAGACAGGAGGGGCCGTCATCCGGACATGACGAGAGACGTGCAAGGGAGAAACGCATGTGTCTTGAGCCCTGCGGCATCCGGTTCGCCAACCATGCACAAGACGAGATTGGATCAGCAATGTGTCTTCCCATTTTCCCAGCCGCGCTGACGCCGGTTGGACCGTGGCGTATGCAAGAGTTCCTGACGACCTGTCTCTAGAGGTACGAACAGGGCGCAACGCACTCGCAGATCTGGCCAAACCGGGGAATTCACGACATGGGCTGCAGATTCATTCCACCCCCTGCCGACCCGGCTGCCTGCGGCCGTGATTTGTTCCTCGTGAGATGAAGCATCTCACCCAAATTCGCAACCCGATCATTTCTCAGCGAACGGGAGGAGGCCAAGACGAGACGAAGGAACACCCATTCCCCAGTCGCCCACCTTCTCGAAGCCTTCCGTGAAGGGCAAGGAAGGCAACCATGTGAACCCCGGCAGCGCAGTCTTCAGTCCTGAGTCTTGCGCCCGCGCTAATGCGAAAAGAGGCGTCACAACACCACTCACAACCACCCGGCGGCGGCGCTGCCATCGCTCAACGACACGCCAGAACATTTCCACGGCTTCCTTACCCCAATGTTCGCCACACACCGCTGCACCCGCCGTCCCTGGGCCCGGCTGCCCTGCGCGACGACCCAGCCCTTTGACGTCGTCGCTTGGCGAGGGTACTAAATCTCGACTCGCTGCCCTTTCTGACGCACTTTTGGGTACTTTTTATCGGTTGATTCCAGCCGTCAGGATCACTCGATCACTACATAACAACGGTCTTTCTCGCATCAAATCCGGGATCTCGTCATACCCGTTATATCCATTCTTCGTTTGGCCCAGTCAATGTTGGACACTAACTGACAAACACCACATCCACCCATGTCAATATAAAACAACGACTTGAGTCTCGTCAACGGCTGAGCTGAGCTTCGACTCAACAGCAAGATGTTTTCGGCACAGCCCAACATGTCTGCGGAAGACATCCAGATCCTCCGCGATCTTTCGGCGCGCTACGGTACAAACAGCCTCACTTACACGTTACGAAACATCACTTCTCCAGCCCCAACATCAGCACCAGCCCGGCCCCCCCTTCGCAGCTCTGCCCTCTCTACAACAACCTTTGGCTCCAATGCGCCTTCTCTGACATCGTCCGGCCCCTGGTCTACCTCGTCGGCCTCCGTCTGTGACGATGCCGCCTCCTTGTCTGGCTCCTTCTTTTCCCCAGCCTGGGATTCTGAGCCCGCCTTCCTCCTCTCCCCCGACACCCCCTCGCTCTCCGGGTCGGATTGGCTCGACAGCACCCAGATCTCTCCCTGCACCAAGACCTGCCCTCAAAAGTCGGCCGCCCGCAGGCCGATAGAGTGCCCCATGTGCGCCGTCTACGATGTCCACGTCGGCTTCGGCCGCAAGTCGGACTTTAAGAAGCACCTCCTCACTTTCCATCATGCAAACGCCCTCTGGGTATGCCCCCACCCGTGCTGCCGTATGGTCTTCGACTTTGAAAAGGCATATATCGCTCACTTCAAATCCGAGCACGGCGACAGCTGTCCCCCGCCAGACACCACAAAACAGGATCTTTGCCCGCAGGTCGTCTTCGCATGCGGCTTCATCGGCTGCAAGGAAGTCTTTGAATCAACCTCCGACGTTGATGCTTCCTCCATGGCAGAGACATTCTTCGACCACCTCGCAGGCCATTTTGACAAGCGCAGCGCCGCCTCGGAGTGGACATACTACCACCAGGTCCAGAACCTCTTGCGCCAGAGAAGTCTGAAGGACGAGTGGAAGCACACTCTATGGGACAAGTCGGCTCGTAACCAGCTGCGCTGGCAGCCCAGAAGCTCCGGTGACCTCAAGAAGCTCCTCGAGTGCAGACACCTCCTTGACGTCCCTCGCATCCTCCACGCGGCCTGGACACTCGGTCAAACCTCCTTCTCCTCCCCGGAGCACCCTGCCCCTGAGTTTCCAGGTGTCGCAAACCGTCCTCTCCTGCATACCTGCGCCTTCTCCTCCAAGGGCCACTCTGAGCTTCAAGTCACGCAACAACTGTCTGCCACCGGCCCGCAGACCCTCTTCACCCTACGTCGCTTCCTGTTCCCCGTCAACCACGCGACCGTCTCCCACCCGCCGCCGCGCTCCATCCCCGAAGAGCCCGATTCCCTGGAATACCCTCACCCTGGCACGCCCATGGTCCTCCCCGAGCGGGACGACTGGTCTGCCAACGTCGTCCTCGGCCCCCCTGAGGACGAGCAGCTTTTCGACCCCATGCTCTACCCCTCTCCTCCCATTCATGAAAACCCCATCGCGCCCTGGAGTCAGAGCATGTGTGACCTCAGTCCGAGAGCAGACAGTGATGGCTCCTCTGGGCCGCTGCTGCAGGTTCCCCCGACGGCGACGACGACGAAGCAGAAGCGCCATCTCAGCTGGGGCAAGCGCAGTCTCGAGAACCTGAGGCTCAAGAAAAGGGGTGGCGCCGAGGACCGCGGCGCGGCGTTGCCTGTGTGGATCTAAGCCACGCCCAGTGCAGCTTCCGTTGCTCACATCCTCCATTTTCATTTGGAGGTCAGGGATCTACCCTAGCCCGGAACCCTTTTCCCCCTTTCATTGTTCATATGACGAAAAACATGTATTATCTAATGTCTCATGACTGATGGGCGGCGCGCCAAGATAGACCTGACTTTTTTTTCTCATTCTTCTCTTTGTCTTTTCGATTTCTTTGATGTTATTTATAAACCATAGACCACCCACTAGACTAGACCTTGATACCCAACGAGACATACTCACCGAAGCCGGCCACCACGGCGGACCGTGTCTCGTTGATAGAGCCGGCCCCTTTCTAGCCTTCGACCGAATGTGGTTCACGGCGGGAGGGGGTTTGATGAGATATGAAGCATGCCATATAGACAATTAGATTTACTCTGGAACTACTTTGTGCTGGCTTGGTGATGTACGCTTCTCTCTCTTGTGGGGTGATTGATGATGAAAACGTGTGTAGTGGTAGTGTAATGCGTCGTCAACAGGACCAAGTTACGCTTAGAAGCCCAAGCAGGCTTTTCAGGTCCAAGTGAACAGACGGATGGCATTTATGACCTTGCATGGCAGTGTCAATCCCCCAAAACCGTAACGGTGCTTGGTGAATAACGAACCGAGCAAAACAGAAAAAGATAAACCGCGACAAAAAATGAAACATTCCATAGCTGTGATGTCATGCCAATCGCTGACGGGAATTGAGCCCGACGTGGGGGTCGAACCCACAACCTTGAGATTAAGAGTCTCACGCTCTACCGATTGAGCTAGCCGGGCGACCGGCTTCAGACAACGGGTTTCTGTTTCTGTGTTGTCGGGAGGGCTTGGAAGGGGGATTATGAATGGTGCATGTGTGTGTGTGTGTGTGTGTCTGTGTCCGTGTGTGCGGGAGAAGTGGGACGCGCAGGAAAAAATGTGCATTGCGCCGGGTGTGCGCGGGGCGGGGCGGAGTCAGGGTTGGAGGGAGGTGTGGTGGTGGTGGCTTGTGTTGGTTGGGGTGTGGAGATTGGGGGAACTTGGAGGGGATGGGTACTTTGGGTAGGACGGGGAGAGAGATACTTGGTCGCGGAGATTCTTTATGAGAACGGGTATCGAGTTGGAGTGGATGGCTAGGGCGTATCTGGCGTTGGTAAAGGTTGGCTCTTCTGCCTACGAATGAACGCAGGGTCGATATTCAAGTTGGGAACATGGACGGTTCAGCAGGATCGAAACACAGCTTCACGTTCATGGACAACTGTTGCGCAGAAAGAACCAGGTATTCTATTAGTCGGCCGGCGTGGACGCTCGGGGCCGACAGCCGCTGCCCTCCTCCTCCTCCATGACAAATCCACGCTCTGCATCACTTTGATATGCATATTCCTAGCGCTACCCTCAACACTAGGTTGGGGTTATTCCAAGTCTCATTTATCCCAGAACCCGTGCACGCGATACTACTCGCGGTTACTCGCAAAGGGCTTTTGATCGGTGCCGAAGTGCGAGCGACCCGACTGCATGGCCCTGAACAGAGACCTAATCCCCGGGGCATGGTTGGTGTCCGCAGCGGCGGCCGTGGACGCCCGCGAGTTCCTGCTAGGTGGACGCTCCTACTGCCCCCTAGACAGAAACGCCAACGACCCGCCGCCGATGATGGGGCTACCGATCTCACCTGGGGCGCCTACCGCCCTGTGTTGGGGCTGGGACAGGTCACTGAACTCGGGCACCCAGCGAACTGTGTGCTTGCCGGGGCCGTTTGCGTCTCGTCGGATCTCAAACGTACCACCACCGTTGTGCGCGTTTCCCTCCGTCTCGAGCAGGTCCAGAAGTTCGTCTTCTGAGACAACGTCCATGCGGCTCAGATGATCCACCTCTGACTTGACGGCCGACATGTCGATGAAGGACTCCGGCTCCTCGCTGCGTGCCTGTAGCTCCTTGCAGGCTCGGCAGAGCATGAGACGAACCGTGACGGATCGCGGGTTGCCGGCGGTGCGTATTTGACCCAGGGACGGCATCGGCTGCATCATCGGGCTGCCCCAGGTGGGATTTCCCAGTCCGGGCGGTGGAGGGGCGAAGTTCATGGGTGACGGGCCCCAGACGTTGTTCATGTTGTGGAATGCATTGTCCATGCCAAAGGGGATGCTCGGGAACGCCGGTCTAGGGGGTTGTTGGCGCGCTCTTCCCATGGCGTTGAAAGGCGCAGAGAGCGGGTTTAGGTTCGGGTCGTCGAACTCGTCCAACAGCGCGCTGCTGCCGAGGTGCTGATTGGCAAAGTCGTCCTGGTCGTCTCGCTGTCCCTGCACCACGCTGCCGGGTCGGCCGATAGGCGCTGGTCTCCCGATGGGCTGCGACGGCGCCGGAGAAGATGCTTCTGTAAAGCTTCCCGATGCCTGGCGAGAATGTGACACTGGGGCCGAGCCCATTCCGTGCAATGGATCGCCCATGGGTGCGCCGAAGCCCGGCGGCGGGTGTGGCATGAAACCTCGTCCGGCAGGCCCGTTGAGGCCGGGTGGGCCGGGCATCATGCCCGGGGGCGGCCTTCCGAAGCCAGGAATACCGGGGGGACCAAAGATCGGCTCGTGCATCCGGTTTCCTAACCCTGGGGGTGGTCCTCCAAAGCCGGGTGGCGGCATGCTCATTGGCATGCCGAACGGGCCTGGTGTTGCGCCCATTGGCCCCTTCATGGTGGACGGTGACACAGAGTGAGGATGCGGTAGTGATGTTGTCGTTGCCACGCTTCCTTTCCTTGAACCAATCGGCGCCGGACTCGTGTGACCCGGCGTGGCGGGGTGTGGTGATGGATTTTGGCTGGTTGAGCTGGACTGCGACGCATGCGATCCAGGCATGCTCACATCCTGTGGCTGGATGGCGTTCTTCGGGCGGATCGGTGTTGGCGCCTTGGGAATAGCCGGCGTCGCAACGGGTATCTTTGGAGATGCATAGGATGCTGGATTCGACGGGTGTGTCGGGATCGACACGGGATGTTGCGATGGCCGCCGGCTCGGGTTCGGGATCGGAATAGGGGCAGCATCAGCAGCGGCAACCTTTTGCGCCGCCTTCTCCTCCTGCTTCAGCTTCTCCCTGGCCTCCTTCTCGACCTTGGCTTCTCGTTCCGCCTTGGCCTTTCGGTCCTTATCCCGCTTGGCCTGTTCCTGCTTCTCCTTGCGCTCGCGGGCTTCCCTCTCCTTCTGCTCGCGAGACTCCTTGTCGCGTGCCTCCTTAGCCTTCTGCTTCTCCTTCAACTCGCGCGCTTTGCGTTCTGCCTCGGCGCGTTTCTCTTGTTGTTCTTGAGCACGTCGTAGCCGCTCAGCTTCCTTGCGCAGTCGATCCTCCTCCTCGAGGCGCTTCTGCTCTTCCTTTTTGCGGCGTTTCTCCTCGGCTTTGAGCCGCTGTTCTTCCGCCTTCTTCTTCTGCTCCTCGAGTCGGGCAGCCTCTTCCGCAGCTTTCTCGGCCTCCTTTCGCGCCTTCTCCTCGGCCTGCATCTGTTTCTTGAGGGCGGCCTTGTCTTTGCGCTTCTGGTTCTCCTTTGCCTTCTTCGCCTTCCGCTGGGATTCCTGCCGCGTCTCCTCCTCGAGTTCCGCAATGAGTTGTTGTTGGCGTTGCTTCGCGACCATATCTCGATACGCTGTGAGCACCCTTTGCTCAAACATGCGAGCTGCGAATATTTGAAACATGCGACGACCCTCTTCCATGCGCTGCTCCTCGGTCATCGTGTCCTGATGATGACAACAAATATGCTCAGTACTCGAGTGTTTATGGTCATACGTGTATTGAGAGGAGCTCACTTCTTCATCCTCGTATTCCTCTTCTTGACTGTCATCATAGTCCTCATCCTCCTCCTCGTCTTCGTCGTCGTAGTCGTCTTCGGGAGGAGGATGGTTATGATTCGAGTGTGAGCCGTTAGTGGGATGAGCATAGCCACGAGCAAAGTGCTCCTTGGCGTCCTCTTCTCGGGCCATGCGACGCTCGGCGAGCTGCTCCATCATCTCAATGAAGCGCTTGCCGTCGTTCTTGAGAAGATCATCCGCAACGGTGAGTATGCCGCCTAAGTCCATGTTACCATATCTGCAGAGTAGAGAGTCCAGAAGCTTCATACCCTTGACTTGCAGGCTGTTCCCAAACGTCAAGAAATCTGCCACGTCTCGATCATGAGGGTGGTCGTGAGGGTGAGCGTCGTGAGCGTCCTCGGGGGGCTCATCTTCGCTATCATATTCGTCGTCGTCAAGGTCCTCCTCGTCGTCGCTATACTCATCTTCGGGCTCTTCGTCATCCTCGTCGTCGCCGACGTGCTCGATTATGCGGCCACGCGATGGTGGTTGCCCCGAGTAGCCTGACGGCAGCCGTGACGGCCGCAGAGGAAACTCGCGCCCGTGACTACCGAGCAGTGGGGGGCCTTCGCCCTGGTGAGCAAATGTTTCGAGTTCCTCGTAGTAAGCGTCGTAGAGACCTTCCAGCTCCTCCTCAATAGCGGTCCGCTTTCGGCCGCAGACGGTGCAGCTGCACGTGTGCTTCTGCTGCTCCTTCATCTTCTTAAGGACGGCATCCTTCTCGACCTTTACCAACGACTTGCGCTCATCCTCGCCCAGACCCAGCCAAAACTCCTTGATGCGTTCGCGCTCCTCCTGAGAGCTGGTGTTCCAGATCTTGTCCTTTGAAATCCCATTGCCGCGCGGGGCCAATGGAGAGTGGGGGGGATGCGATATGTTGTCGAATTGAGGGTCGGGCAGATGCTGGGTCTTGCCGGCCTTCTTCTTCTTCTTGTTCTTCTTTTTGGACTTTGCGGATGCGATGCCGTTTGTGTTGGAATGGTCGTCGTAGGAAGGCTGATCCTCGGGGTCGTCGTCGCTGAAATCCTGGTCGGCGTCATCTTGGGCAGCTTGGAGTTTGGGCGCCGGGGCGCCAGGTGGATGACTGGGGCGGCCATTCGGGGTTTGGACGGGGACGACGGCCTGCTCAGCGGCAGCTTTCGCAGCAGCCTTTGCGCGACGCTTCTGCTTCTTGCGATTAATGGCAGGTTGAAGTGCGTCGGCGCCGTTGGTGTTGGCGGTCGTTTGCAGGCTGGGTGCTTTCGCGGAGGAGGTCGGGGTGGAGGGCTGCGAAGCCTCAGCGGAGGGGGGACCCTTTGGGACAGTGATGATCTTGGAGCCGTCCTTGTTCGTGTATCTCGCGGTGGCCTTGCTGTTAGGGGACGCAGGCGTCTGTGATGCCGGCTGGCGGTGGTTGGCCGGCATGTCGAAAGTCTGCTACGAAGCAACAAGCGTCGATGTCATAGAGAAGAGAGGATTGCGAGGGGTGAGGGATTCGGGAAGGGAGACAGCTCGGATTCGGGGGTGGGTTCGAATCGGACTCGCGGGGAGGGCGGATTGAATGAAGATAAGCTAATCGACTGTCTGGTGAGGATATGGGTGAGCCAAAAAGAGTCGAGTCGTTCCCTCGCGGCCGGGTGTGGTGAGGTTTGGGGGTCGGCGTTTGTGTGTGCGCTCGCAAAAAAGGTTGGCGGGATGCAGCGCGCTGAGCGGGCTGAGATGGTGATGAGGCCAGGACTCAGGTGGAGGCGAATATTATTCGAGATGGGGCCGGGGGGGCAGCCACAGCACTGGCCAAGGGGACAGACAGCCAACAGATGGCAGTAAGGTACCCGGAACACCTGATAGACAGGCAGGGCAGGCGGGTAACGTACAGGTAGCTACAGCCGGATTTACAGCACAAGGAGCACCTTACTGTTTAGGCTGATCGCAGAGACGGGGCTGGCAGGTCAGCAGCGATTGTGTTTAGACAGGTAGGTAATCAAGCCAACAAGCAGCAATGGAGGGGGCTGTGATGCATGCGTGATCACTTCTAGATGATGTTGCTTCAAGGACACAGAATCAAAGACCAGGTCAACTAGGTATAGCGGTTAGCCTGAGGCGTAGGTCATGGTTGGGTAAGGCAGGCAGCCTCAGTGGCTAGTGCAGCCTGAATGAAGCCTTGGACCTACCCTACCTATACCTATGGAGGGTGCTAGGGAGGTCGGGTAATGTGCGTTGGTCTGTGTTGTCGTGCATTTGAAGGGAGGAGCATGTCTCCGAGGCAAAAGTCACGCAAGCGCGCAGGTTTGCGGGGACGGTACAACGGGCAACCAGGGCAGATGGGAAAATGGAAGGTATCTCGCAGTGAAATCGCACCCAGCCCTGCAGTCTGGGTCTCCCCCATCCATCAAAATTCGAGGACTGGGCTGCACCACGTGACTGCTGACAGGGCCGCCTCAACCATCACTAGACCACAGCCAGGCATTTGCAGTGCAGTGTGCTGGAACTAGTGCGAGTCCAGCTGTGGCCTGGATGGCCCGTGCCTGCCGGTCCTTTTAGATCTGGCTGTGCTTAGCTTACTGTGTACATAGGTTCCTGCCTGAGGGCTGGGGTGGGGGCTGTCAGGCATCCAGATGACATAATCAACCGCATGGTCTGTGCCGACATGGGAAAGTGAGAACCCGGAAAGTTATTTCATAGATCGGGCAAGCAACAGTCCAGTCGGGTCAGGTCCGTCCCGCGCTCTCCAAACGAATCCAATGCCTTGCTTGCTGCCCTGCCTTCACGCCCAGCACCCTGTCTGAACAACACCTTGTGTCATCCCATCTGCGTTTGTTTCCCTGCTTCCAGCATTGCAGCAATGCCTTCTTTCCGGCTTGAGAGACGACGAGGACCGCGCAGCTATGGATCCATCCATCACCACTTCCAAGACATATCGGCCATGTCCTGGAAGCTTTGTCCAGCAAGCTTGAGAGCACAGCCTGCGATTGCGCTACCATGACTACACAAAACCTATTTGGCAACGCGGATTTCCCTCTGGAATCAAAACACTGTCGTTTGTTTCAGCACGTGATGAAGTCAATTTTCAATGCTTTACTTATAGTCTGGCGTTTGGTGTCGATTGTCGCGGTTCGGTATGACAGGATGGCCAAGCATCCCGTGTCGCATCTCAGCTTGTACGACACAGGCATTTCTCAGACAACTTCATTCGCTCCTCAGTCAAGGGCGTTGGGCGATGGTGCACCAAACGAGACACGGAAGCCCGTTTCCCGTCCAAGAGAAAGCCGACACTCGTCGCTGGTGGCATCCGATCCATCAACTGCCCTCCCTGTTTGCCCAGCCTTCCGTTCGCTGGCACCTCCGAGCCTACCGGCTTCAATAACAGCTTCAACGGAGGTGCAAAACACCCTCCCACCCGTCCCGAACACGTCGGCAGTTCAGCCTCCAACCCCGGAACCGCGCGGCCACCGACCGCTATCGGTAGCCCAATGGACGAGGCCCCGTGCCGGCCGCCCTGCATTTCTGGGTTCTTGGGCACATTAGCAGCGTTGCAGGCTGCTGGAGCTGCCACCAGCTCGACGACTTCTCAGCTGTCCCAACGAGCCCCACTGATCAACAAACCAACCCCAGCCAAGGGGCCATGTCACGTCCGGCTAGCGTTTGTCAGGCGCTGTCGTGACGTTTGTCTTCTAGCCCTTTGCTGGCTGGTCCGCGCGAACAAGTCCCTATCAAAAACGCCTCTGACGGACCGCTCCCGCACGTTGGGGGGTTACCCGCCAACGAAACGGACGAGTGGAAGCAATCGCAACCGAACAGCTACGTGCGAAAACCTGCCTCTGGAGAACAGCGTCGGGCGTTGTGGATGTCGCCTGGTCGATCCAGCTCGGCGTTGTGCACATATCGGACAGGTGTGACCAGCAGATCCCGGACGGGAGCGCATCTTAATTTTGCGGGCAAAAACTGCGACGCAACGCCTTGAACAGTACCGACGAACCAGGAACGGTTCCCTCAGCCTACTTGTCTACTTTTTGGTACCTTATGTTCACCGTGGCCCGAAGAAAACGGGACGACTGCGATCCCCGAGGCCATGCGCGGCACAATAATCGGTCTGCAAAGTGTCGATGATCCAATGGGAGGCCCTGGAAACAGGCTGCTCCAGTCGGATTACTTGCAGCTGGAGTGAAATCTGTGGTTAGTCAACACAGCCTCGGCCGCTGCGATGAGGCGGGCCAGTATCCACCGCGAGCGACAGGTCCACTCCCCTGGGCGCGTGCCCAGGATGTCTGGCGATGATGCTGATACTGGAGACGAAGAAAGGGGGATTCATTCTACCGACTGGGTTCCAATGCTGTCTGAGTGGGCAAATCGGACCGGGATTTTGGCCTCGTATGTCGAAGGATGCCGAAAGGGTCCTGCGTGGGAAGCAATCAGAAACCAAGGTGTTGCGACGGATCACATCAGTGCTCCCATAACGCCGAGGAAAGCTCCATCAGTTCGACGTGTCACTAAGGATACCTTTGGCAGCTTGAGGACCTGGGTGACAAGCCAAGCCAGAATACCCAGCTGATATACCACGTTCGGAATCCCGCGGTGCTGCGTTGGGTAATCTTTGCCCGAGTATTGAGCAGGTCTCAACTAACAAGCCCAAGTGGCCATCCCTGCGGCGGGCACATATTTACGCTGACCCGCGTATGTCAGACATGGCCGAAAAAGCTTGGGTTTTCTGCTCTCAAAAGGCCCTCTGAAGCAAATGAAGCGCCAGATTGGACCAGCAAGCGGTCAGGACAAATGTCAGCGGACAGTGAGGGCAACGGGAGGGCGGGCAGATGCAGACAACAATGTCTGAGGTGCTGCGGTGGAGGACGGCACAGCATAGCCACGGCTGGCGCTGTTAGTCGCACAGACGGAGGCACAGCGCAGATGGTGTGGGTGGCCGCTGCACGGAGGGACAGAGGGCCGGAGACAGGCGCCCACAGAAAGGGACTGGATGGTTCTGCTGCTGATCCGCTTACCCTGCAGTCCCCTACCCGTCGTGCTGTGGCTTTTTTTTCTGAGCTTGTCCACCCACACACAATCTCACACACCATGAGGAAGGGACGCGATGGTGCAGGAGCTGTAGAGGGCCCTTAATAACTCCAAGGCTGTTGATGAACGCCCGCCGAGTCACGATGCTCAGGATGAGGCTCGATGATGACAGGAGTTGAGAGAGAATTTTGGGGGCCGGCAGCATTCGGTGCCGCTGCGGCATCTGAAGTCTGATGGGTTTCTCAAACGTACAGGTACGTAAGTGATGATGTCGATGTTGGCGCGGTCGTCTCTTGTCAGGCGAGGTAAGGTTAAGTTCAATTGGCAGCAAGGAGTGATGTTGAGGTAAGAAAAGGAGGGACAGGGTGCGGTTAACAGATCGGGGGTGATCCCTGCAAGTTGAGAATACCGAGAGCAACCCAAGCCAGCATAAACAAGGCAAATTCGATCATGCCTGACCATGAAGGACTAAAGAAAGAATTAACATGGAAACAACAGGGACGCTAAATCGCAGGCTCGGCGATCGGCCCCGAGAGCTCTAGTTGGCTAGGGGAGTTATGTTAGGTCAACCGTAAAGGTACAGACGGTTTCAACGATTTGTATTTGAATTTTCGGTTTTTCGGGGACCAGGAGAGAGGGACATCCTTATTTTAGAAGCAGCGGGTTGGACGGTTACAAGTTAGCGCAGCCATCAAGGGCAAAACGTCCGACCTTTGTTCATGGGTGCCGGTTATTGCTCCGTGGCTTGCAGGTTAGAAGGCTCGGATGTTTACATCATTGCCAGGGACGATGATGATGAGGAGGAGGAGGAAGAGAAAGAGGCCTCGTTCGTTTTGGCTTTTCGGGGTGACTGAGAAGAGCAGCGGGAGCTCTTGTCATGCGTTTTTGTTTTGGGTTGTGATGGTACGCACGAGTACCTTACGTGGGCGGTGCTCAGCCTCCAGGTGTCTGGACCGCCAAACCGCGGGTAACACTGACACTGCGCAGACCAGACCGTAGGACTGAGGACCTGGACTGGCCCCGGGGAAGCCCAGGACCTGGGAGTCCTGGGACTGATGACTGTCAGGCTCCACGGCGTCGGATCCCCGGCTGGTTCATGCACAGCTTTGGGGGGGCATCCAATGATTCCAGCCCACATGCACCTGCGATGCACGATACCTTCTTACCTTGGGTACCTTAGCTTACCTGACCTTACTTGCAGCTCTTGCATGTAAGGTAATGAATTCGTAGCCTCTGTTGTTGAGTTGTTATTGTTGCTGCTGTTGTGCAGTGAGCAGCTATGGGTGATGCACTTGGTGGGAAGATTCAGAAGAATAAGGTCCCTTGGTCCGCTTGTCTGTGCCACAACACGCACCAGCCGGCGGTCTTCCTGGAGAGAGACTGGACCTGAATGGACTGGACTGACTGTTGGACTGAGG